CCTCGGACCTCGGACCTCGGACCTCGGACCTCGGACCTCGGACCTCGGACCTCGGACCTCGGACCTCGGACCTCGGACCTCGGACCTCGGACCTCAGACCTCGGACCTCGGACCTCGGACCTCGGACCTCGAACCTCGGACCTCGGACCTCGGACCTCGGACCTCGGACCTCGGACCTCGGACCTCGGACCTCGGACCTCGAACCTCGAACCTCGGACCTCGGACCTCGGACCTCGAACCTCGAACCTCGGACCTCGGACCTCGGACCTCGGACCTCGGACCTCGGACCTCGGACCTCGGGTCTCGGACCTCGGACCTCGGACCTCGGGTCTCGGACCTCGGACCTCGGACCTCGGACTCGGACCTCGAACCTCGAACCTCGGACCTCGGACCTCGGAATCCGAACCTCGGACCTCGAACCTAAGGGACAATCTGGTGAAACCAACTTTTTTCTGAGCAAACCAGCTTTTTTTTCCAAGATGTTTATGTGTTTTTCCTTCCTTGCATGGATGTTGAGCCTGTTGGTTTACATGGGTCTATGTTGTGTCCAGTTGGATCTTCCTTGCCAAGATGTTGTCCATACCTCGCCTCCATGTTGGGTCTATGTTGGATCTGCCACCATGATCCTGGGTCTTGGTTGGGTCTATGTCTATGTTGGATCTGCTATGTTGGGCCTATATGTTGCTCTATGTTGGATCTGCTGAGATGTCCACAAATGTGTAGCAAAGCTAGCGTTGGGGTCATAGGCTTTATGTTGGACGTATCCCATGTTGGACATATTTTCCTTTTTTTTTTGATTTCCAGGGGGGAGTCCGCCTAAAGGGCCTAAACCCGGGGAAGGCGGACTCCCGTATTTTTTGAATTTGGTGATCTTGGTTACATTAACAATGTTGGCTTTTACTGCAAACCACCACAGGTCAAGTTTCAGTGCATTTGCTATCCGTCAAAATAACCAGGACCCTAAGGCGCTGACAAAGTGCCTCTGACGCTGCAAGAGTGTCATGAACTATTAACCATGATTCATTTCATCATGGGTAATAACCATGAACGATTAACCATGATTCATCTCATCAAGCGTATATCTTAGATTGAACCAGCAATCAGTTTGCAATTCCCTGCATCATTTTCTAACATTTTCACAGTTAACCGTACTATCAATCAACATCATCATGCATGACAGTACGGTTAACTGTGAAAATGTTAGAATATGATGCGGGGAATTGCATACTGATTGCTGATTCAATAAAGATATATGCTTGCTGAGATGAATCATGGTTAATAGTTAATAGTTCATGGTTATTACCCGTGATGAAATGAATCATGGTTGATAGTTCATGACGCTCTTGTAGCGTCAGAGGCACTTTATTTTGACGGATAGCAAATGCACTGAAACTTTACCTCGGACCTCGAACCTCGGACCTCGGACCTCGAACCTCGGACCTCGGACCTCGGACCTCGAACCTCGGACCTCGGACCTCGAACCTCGGACCTCGAACCTCGAACCTCGAACCTCGGACCTCGAACCTCGGACCTCGGACCTCGGACCTCGGGTCTCGGACCTCGGGTCTCGCACCTCGGACCTCGAACCTCGGACTCGGACCTCGAACCTCGGACCTCGGACCTCGGAACTCGGACCTCGGACCTCGGACCTCGGACCTCGGACCTCGAACCTCGAACCTCGGACCTCGAACCTCGGACCTCGGACCTCGAACCTTCGGACCTCGGACCTCGGACCTCGGACCTCGGGTCTCGGGTCTCGGACCTCGGACCTCGGGTCTCGGACCTCGGACCTCGAACCTCGGACCTCGGACCTCGGAGATCGGACTTTGGACCTCGGACCTCGGACCTCGGACCTCGGACCTCGGACATCGAACCTCGGACCTCGGACCTCGGAATCCGAACCTCGGACCTCGAACCTAAGGGACAATCTGGTGAAACCAACTTTTTTTCTGAGCAAACCAGCTTTTTTTTCCAAGATGTTTCTGTGTTTTTCCTTCCTTGCGTGGATGTTGAGCCTGTTGGTTTACATGGGTCTATGTTGTGTCCAGTTGGATCTTCCTTGCCAAGATGTTGTCCATACCTCGCCTCCATGTTGGGTCTATGTTGGATCTGCCACCATGATCCTGGGTCTTGGTTGGGTCTATGTCTATGTTGGATCTGCTATGTTGGGCCTATATGTTGCTCTATGTTGGATCTGCTGAGATGTCCACAAATGTGTAGCAAAGCTAGCGTTGGGGTCATAGGCTTTATGTTGGACGTATCCCATGTTGGACATATTTTCCTTTTTTTTGATTTCCAGGGGGGAGTCCGCCTAAAGGGCCTAAACCCGGGGAAGGCAGACTCCCGTATTTTTTGAATTTGGTGATCTTGGTTACATTAACAATGTTGGCTTTTACTGCAAACCACCACAGGTCAAGTTTCAGTGCATTTGCTATCCGTCAAAATAACCAGGACCCTAAGGCGCTGCCAAAGTGCCTCTGACGCTGCAAGAGTGTCATGAACTATTAACCATGATTCATTTCATCATGGGTAATAACCATGAGCGATTAACCATGATTCATCTCATCAAGCGTATATCTTATTTGAACCAGCAATCAGTATGCAATTCCCTGCATCATTTTCTAACATTTTCACAGTTAACCGTACTATCAATCAACATCATCGTGCATGACAGTACGGTTAACTGTGAAAATGTTAGAATATGATGCGGGGAATTGCATACTGATTGCTGATTCAATAAAGATATATGCTTGCTGAGATGAATCATGGTTAATAGTTAATAGTTCATGGTTATTACCCGTGATGAAATGAATCATGGTTGATAGTTCATGACGCTCTTGTAGCGTCAGAGGCACTTTATTTTGACGGATAGCAAATGCACTGAAACTTTGCCTCGGACCTCGGACCTCGAACCTCGGACCTCGGACCTCGAACCTCGGACCTCGGACCTCGAACCTCGAACCTCGAACCTCGGACCTCGGACCTCGGACCTCGGACCTCGGACCTCGAACCTCGGACCTCGAACCTCGGACCTCGGACCTCGGACCTCGGACCTCGAACCTCGAACCTCGCGGACCTCGAACCTCGCGGACCTCGGACCTCGGACCTCCGACCTCGGACCTCGGACCTCGGACCTCGGACCTCGGACTCGGACCTCGGACCTCGAACCTCGGACCTCGGACCTCGGACCTCGGACCTCGACCTCGGACCTCGGGTCGGGCTCGTTGCCAAGTGCGTTCTGACGCTTTTACTTACACACAGACGCTTTTACACACAGACGCTTCTACACACAGACGCTTCTACACACAGACGATTTTACACAAAGATGCTTTTACACACAGGCGCTTTTACACGCAGCCGCTTTTACGCACAGACCACAGACACTATTACACACAAAGGCTTTTACACAAAAACTTTTACACACAGAACCCTTCACACACACAGACGCTTTTACACACAGACGCTTTTACACATAAACGCTTTTACACACAGACGCTTTTACACACAGAAGCTTTTACGCACAAGCACTTGTACACGTTCACACACACACACCGACGCTCATACACACAGAAGCTTTTAGACACAGATGCTTTTACACACAGACACTTTTACACACAGAGGCCTTTACACACAGACACTTTTACACACAAACTTTTACACACAAAAGCTTTTACACACACAGACGCCTTTACACACAGACGCTTTGACACACAGCCGCTTCTGCACACAAACGCTTTTACTCAGAAGCTTTTACACACAGAACGATCGAACCTGATTTCGTGCGAAGGGCTTGCCGCCGACACTTCAAACTCGCAATTTAACTTCAGTTTTTGACGATGGAACTTCATTTTGTGCGAAAGGGTTGCCGCGGAAGCGCGCAAATCGCAATTTTATTTCAGTCTTTGACGATCGAACCTCATTTCGTGCAAGAGGATGTTAAATCGCAATTTTACTTCAGTTTTTGACGATTGAACATGATTGAACCTCATACTCATTTCGTGCGAAAGGTAATAGGAGGCACTGCTTAATGGGGGCTACTCCAGGTAAGGCGGCATTTTGTGATCGAGATTGAAAAAAATATGCGATAGATTGCTGCAAAAGAAATGTTCTTCGCTGTGGTTGGCGGACAGACTGTGATGGATATATTTTTCTTTGTTGCGTTTTTCATTTGAGAAAGGGATGGAAAATTCCTTGTCTGGTTTACCTGTCGAAGAACCCAGATTTCATTAAAGAATTGCTTGTTCAACATGACAAGCGTTCGGGCATGGACCTGGAATATTTGTGATGCGTATGCCTTCAAAAGGACGTAAAATTCATTGCAAAAAAATCGTTGAGCATGAAAACAACTTCATGTGGAGCGTGAAAACTGATAAAAACTTTTGCAGGTGTTTTCCAGCCATGTGTAGATGTGAAGATGTGAAGATGATATATATGTGTAGATGTGAAGATGATTGAAAATGTATAACAAACCCCCACTATTAGAAGAACCCTTCGCTCAGGCGCCCTTGGGAAAAATCGAAAAATGGAATAAAACTAGGTTTTTATCGTTTTTTTATTTTTTGGGTGGGTTCATCATCAGTTTTTTTTACATGTTTTTTTTCTTTTATCAATTTTGGATTTCGGTTTTATTTTCGTTTTTTTTTTTTTTTCTGGTGAGGTTTGTAGATCGAGCTGAAGAAAAAACAAATTGAAAACGAAAGTGAAAAATGAAAACCAAACTGAAGATCAAACTGAAAACCAAACCGACAAGAAAACTGAAAACCAAACTGAAGATCGAACTGAACAAATAAACAACTGAAAAATAAATAAATAAAAATTTCCAATTTCTGGCAAGCAAACAATCTCATAAAGCTAGTGCAAATACAGGACTTCCAGGGAGGGACTCTCAGCATTCTAAAATGGATGTATGTTGCAATGGTTTCTTTGCCAAGCAACCGGCCCATGTACATGTGGAGTTTGAGCCATTTGATAGGTCACAGCCAAGCCAACTTCGTGGCCAGGTGGAGTGGGTGTGCAGAGCCCTGTTTGGGCACCGATGAGCAAGGTCCAACGGGTCCAACGGGTCCAATGGGTCCAACGGGTCCGACGGGTCTGGATGTGGTTGGGAGCTTTGGGACAGATCCTGTTCGGCGAATACTAATTAATCCCCACAATGGGACCATCAACATGAAGAGATCATAACAGATCCACTGCAAAACCAGTGCGTGATAGGGGTTTTGTACTTGGAAACGCAGAGCTACACACCGACACAGCCCTCTGTTTCCTCGCAAACATCTTACTATCCCTGGCAAGAAAACCTAGAAACATTGGAAACATTGGAAACCAATTGCCGATTGTACAAAACCATCCCCTCACATGGTCCTTTGGTCCTCACCCCTTCATCCCTGCCGTTTTCCTGTCTGGCGAATGCACTGCGCTCTCCCTCGCAGCCCCATCCACTGCAAAAGCTGCCGATTGAACTTTTAGTATGTCCATTTTGGTGAGTGCCTTGATATATTTCCAGCGTCCCCAATTCGATTGGAACTGGAGCAAATGATCTAGTGAACTGAACATTCTTTTCCGTGGTCTGCTCTGAAAGGCACCTTTGCGATCCTTTGCTTTGCGTATTTTTTTTGGTTGTTTTTATTGATTTTTGCTCGTTCATGTTTGCACCGTAGCAGCCAGGCGCTGAGCCTTGAGACGAAACATGACGAAACATGAATTGCAATGGGTATCATACCGGGCAAGTGGGTAGACTGTAGACTCGTGCTCCACGCAGATCACATAGAAGTTGCCATGCTGCCCTCCGTAAAGCATGTTGGGACAATTGATGCCCACTGATAGGACATGGCAGGAACTTTCGAGATTTTCAAAATTCGTAATGAAGCAAAGATTGGTGGGTCGGGTTAACAATGACAGTCGCACTAGGGTTTGTCCATCTGCAGGCTGATTCGGTGTCACATGGTGTCACGTGATTATCTCTGGTGGTCCTGGGAGGCAACCTTTGCAACAGTGCCGACTCCTCGTCATGCCTAAGGGCCTGCCCGCGGTGCCAAGCACTTGTGGTCGGCGGCCGTTAGCCATCAGCCATCACGGTGCCTTAACAATGCCCCAGAAGATGGTGGATATTTCCCACTCATGTTGTAAGTTCAATATAGATCAATATCAATATAGCAAATCCAGGACTCCAGAACCACCTGCAACATATGTTGGCAGCGCCACCTCCTCTGTAGCATTTGCGGAGCCTGCAGCTGCGTCCTTGGCGCCACAGGCGCGATGAAGTTATGAAGGAATTTGGTCGCAGCGCTCGTTTTGGGCGACACTGCCCCTGTGCTTTGGACTATTGAGACGGTGCATGGCCACTGCAAGCCCGTTTTTTCTAGCAACCTCCACCTCGGATTCCACATTTGAACTAGCACACGTATTCAGTTTTTGGGCAGTGTCAAGCCACGGATTCTTTGCCTGAGGGTTTCGATGGGTTTCGAACCCGTTCGGGTCCACATCAGGAAAGTTTCAAGGGATCTCTCGGGCTGTGTCTGCTCCATGAAATCTGGAGGAACGCCCGGCATTCATCGCTTGTTGGGAGACTGTCACCACCACGGTCCTCAAAAGCGGCGGCACTTGCCTCCGTGGTTTTCCACCCATTAACCGACGTCGGCTAGTCTTGATGGCTTTGTTCAAAGAAGGACAAAGTCAGACAATCACTAGTCAAAGTCAAAGCTTCTGGACAGCTTTAGGGACCCCAAGGAATGAAGATTGGTTACGCACAGGCTCGCATACTGCTGCCTTCAGGAATACGTATAGATAGATAGATAGATAGATAGATAGATAGATAGATAGATCTATCGATCGATCGATAGATAGATCGATAGATAGATCGATAGATCGATAGATCGATAGATCAATAGATCGATAGATCGATAGATAGAAAGATAGATAGATGGATGGATAGATAAGATAGATAGATAGATCGATAGATCGATAGATCGATAGATCGATAGATCGATAGATAGATAGATAGATCGATAGAAAGATT